CCCCGGCTCCCAGTGGGCGAGGACTGACCTCTCCCCTCCCGCCCAGCACATCCTGGAGCTGGAGGCCATGCTGTTCGACGCCCTGCAGCAGGACGCAGGGGCCAAAGTGGCGGAGGTGCTGTCGGAGGAGGAACGCGAGAAGCTCAGGGTGGCCGTGGAGCAGTGGAAGCGCCAGGTCATGAGCGAGCTGCGTGAGCGGGACGCCCAGATCCTGCGGGAGCGCATGGAGCTGCTGCAGCTGGCGCAGCAGGTGCGGGCGTGGGGGCGGGACTGCAGCCTCAGGGGCCGGCCCCGGTGACCACACCCTCCCAGGGCGGAGCTAATGCGGCCACACCCCCAATAACCACTCCACGCGGCCACACCCCCAGTTACCACACCCTGCATGACCACACCCCGCGGCCACACCGCCAATAAGCGCATCAGCCATGGCCGTGCCCATGGTGGGCCCTCCCACCAGACTATCTGCTGCTCCAGACCGGCCCCCTGGGCCACATTGTCCAGGCCTCTGGGGGCACGTCCCCTCTCCTGGGACCCCTGAGCGCCAGGTCTCCTCCACGACTCCCCCCTCAGCGGTGAGGGCGTGGCGAAGGCGCCATCTGCGGAGACGCAGCTGGTGGTCAGCGGAGCAGCCCGGGTCTTCTCAGGCCGTTTCTAACTGGCGGTGCGGGCCCCCGGCAGACCGGGCAGCCTGGGTGTGGAGGACATGCCTCCACCCCGTGCGACCCCGCATGGCCTGGAAGGGACGCGATGTGTGACTATTCTGGGGCTAGTGTCTGGGCCGGTGCCCTGCCGGCAGCTTCCCTGTGACCGCACCAAGCGCGCGGGTGACATCCGGCAAGGCTTTTCCCCGCCTTTCCCGGGCGCCGTGATTGCTGAGGAGTCTCCTCCTTTAACTGCAGAGAGTTAAAGAGTTAGAAGAAAGAATAGAAGCCCAGAAGAGGCAAATAAAGGAGCTGGAGGAAAAGGTAAGATACACGCAGATCTCGGGGCCTGCGCTGTTACGGGCGACCTCAAGTGGGAAGAAGCACCAGCTCAGGGAGCGTCCTTCAGCGCTGGCTCTGAGGTTCGGGGCGTCCTTCAGCAGAGAGGTTTCAGGGCCGCAGCTGCTCTGGACCAGGAGCCAGGAGCTGGGTCTGGGACACGCCCTCTGCCATGCGACCTCGGGGTCCGCTTCCCACGGCCTCCATGTCCCCAGCCGTGGTGGTGTGTGCTGGCCAGCGACCCAGGCTCCCTGTAGCAGGACCGCCGTGGAAGCATGTCACTTTCCCAAGTTCGCCAAGCACGTGGGGCTGAGAGTCAGGCTCCCGCAGGACTGGGCTCCGGCCTGGAACAGGCCGTGCGGCCCGAGTCCCTCACTTTGGTCCTTGGTGGTCCTTAACGCAGTTGCTTCCAGGTTTAGGAAACTCAGTTAGTTTGGGGCCACGCAGCTCGGTGGCTGGGGTGGACTGTCCAGCTCCTTTCCTGGACCCCCAGCCCTGAGAGGTGTGGGGTCGTGGGCACCCTGCCCAGTCACAGCAACAGTCCCACCTGGTGCTCCCCGAATCCAGGTGCATGGAGTGCACCCAGAGACCTGGCTCTCTCTCCCTGTGGGTTTTACTGAGTTTGGGGGCCGCTCTTTTTCTGTGACTTAGGGCTGTGTCAGTGACCTCTAGTGGTCAGACCGTTTGACCGGTTCTTGTTGGTCCTGCATGGAGTGACCAGCTACCCAGTGAGCGCTGAGTGAAGCGGCCAGTCAGCACCTCCCTGCTTGTCCTGTCTGGAGGGAGCAGGAGACGGTGTTTGGACCGGACCCCCTGCGGGCTACATGTCCTGACCTGGCCAAAGCAGGGGCTCTGTGCTTGAAGGACAGAGGGTCCCCTCCTGATGGCAGTCCTATAGCTGGTCCTCCCCCACCCTGCCCACACCTCCCATTGGTGACACAACCTGCCCCTTCCCAGGCACTTTACTGCCATCTGCTGAGCAGTCAGTCACAGTAACTGTGCAAATCCACCGTGCCCCTTGAACCATGCAGGGTGCCCTGGGGACAGGATCTGCCTGCCCTGGGGACACGGGATGCGTGGGGGGATGTCCACCAGGTGCTCCCAAGGTGCTGGAGGGGCTGGCAGGGGACACACCAGCCTGGGGGCTCCAGCCTCGCCGTGGATGCAGGCTCTTCCCCCAGATGAACATCCGTTCCCGTTTGCATCTCCAAGGGAGAGCGCTGTTTACATTAGCTCCTAGGATTTTTATTCGTTCAGTCTAGCTGCGGTGCCTCTGCACAGCCAGGCTTCCTTGGGTCTCAGCCGGTCTGGTCCCCTTCCCCACCCAAAGCGAGGCGGTGGGTATGAAAGGCCCTCAGGGTGCTGCTTGCGCTTTGTCACTTGTGGTGGGACTGAGAGCCAGTGTCCTCGGGAACATGGCGTGTGCTGCCCCCACAAGGCTTGCATCATTATCATCAGCCAGTGAGTGCGCTGGCAACAGGTCTGGGCAGCGGGAATCACCCTCCCCCCCAGAGGACACTGAGCCCCTGAGAGGCTCGTGCTGGGAACACACCAGACACGTGGCCTCCTGACTGTCAACCACAGCCCTGCCTCTGGCTGGCGCAAGGTCCCGCAGTGTGTCTGGGCGGTGGCAGCCCTGTCACTGCAGACCCGGGCGTCCCCACAGCCCCTCGCAGCATCATGCCGGGTTCACCGCCGCCCCCGCGCCCCGCGCCCCGCGCCGTCTCACTGTCTGTGACGTTCTCTCTCCCGGAAACGCCACAAACGCTCTTTTCTCTC